CGCCATAACATAACAGAAAAAAGAAAAATAATAATAATAATCAGAAACCCAGAAAGGCAGAAGCATGCTTAAAAACATAGAGATAAATAAAGAAGAAACGTTTCAAAAGAAAAAAGATTACAACGTCCGCACTTCGTAAGAAAAAAATATATTTTTTTTTTTTTTTTCTTCTTCTCTTCTCTTATATTTTCTCCACGTTTGGAGTCGCCTCGACCGCATCCAAATCCGCCGTGTGGTCCTCACGTGTCGCTGGCATCACTCGGATCGCAGAACTCCTGCGCCGCATGCGAAAATATATGAGCTGCCCAATGACCACGAGATCAAGAGATAACTGAAAAATTCCACAGAAAATAAAAGGAAATGGCTGATGATCAACAAGGAAATAAATCACTTTAATGATATCGCCCAAAAACCATGTCAATACAAGCATAATCGTTAACCCTTCCGTGGATTGTCGACGGTGGTTACGTAGGATTTGTGGAAGGACAAGTAACGCTTCAATACCTAATGCAATGTAGCCAACAACCTCCGGTGCCGCACCCCACACGGTCCCAATAGTTGCATAATAAAGAAGTACAAGAATAGTGGTTAGCAATGTCCATAAAACGTACCGCCGGATAAAAGATGGTGGTGATAAAGAAAAAAACCTTTTCTCAAGAAGACATGCACCGGTGTCCAATTTTGTCAAGATGTATCGGATTGGGTTTGTCTTCACGTGGATTTCCTCCCACGTACCGATCTCTTCTCCATTGACCTCTACAGCAGGAACGGTGGCAGCGGCAGTTTCATGCATCGACAAAGTACCGCCGCCAGAATAATGTTCCTCTGAATCACTAGAGATGTTTTTTGTCATGTGCAATACCATAATAAGAAGCACTGTGTGCACAAGAATAGCAAACATCGCCTGAAACAAAAGAGCCAAGGCAAAATGATGCCCAATATAATAAAGAATACGGATACCATTGCTAGCTAATAAAATTAAAGACACAAGTGGTGAGTATCCTTCCACATTCCGTGTGGAACTCATTTCATGAATCTGAAATACATATCCAATATGGGGCCCAAACACCATGCCAATGGAAAACAACAAAAACATAATATCCTTCCATGAAGCGTTGGGTTTATCATGAGCCACTCCGACATCGTTCGTCCTGTACATTTCGCTTGAAGACCCATATACCGCAGATGACCATGACTGATGCATCGACAATACTTTTTCGGCCCTTGTGCGGCCTTTTCTTGTCGTTGTTGTTGTTGTTGTCGTCGTTGATTTTCGTTCGCTCTTCTCTACTTAGGACCGTTAGAATTCCAATTGTTTAAAGCGCACGTCCTTTTATTATTATTATTATTATTATTTGGTTTCAGCTCCCGTATTCGTCTTGAATGCGTCGCTGTTGTTTGCCTCTCCCCTACTGCTGCTGCTGCTGCTGGTGGTGGTGGTATTGTTGTTTTTGCTGCCACTAGATACACTTTTGGCCGTTCATTGTAAGAAAAATAAAAAATAAAAAGTTGCTTCAGACAACACACAAAAGATATCACGTTGCATACATGTAAAGGGGGGAAAAAAAGAGGAGATCAATTAAATGGAAGGAAAAAAAAAAAAAAAAAAGGTGCGGCCAAAGATAGAAAGAAAGAAAAAAAAAAAAAATCCATTCATGCGGCTGATGGTTTAAGCGTTACGTGTAAACGGCGTTAACGGTGCCCTCGGCACACTTTGTTGCACCCAGTTGTTTCATGTATTCCTTCTGAGTGGGAACCCGCCTCAACAAATGCGAGACGCAAACACTGCAGCACCTTCTGACCAAGTGGAATGAGTTGTCGCATGGTTTCCACCGCAGCCGCACTCGTCGGTGTTGTTTTTTTCGTCGCTGTAACTGCCGCAGATCGCTGCGTTGCCGTGCAGCCTTCTTGCGTGCCCACCCTTTTACTAGCCCCACCCGCCGAATTCTCAAAATCTGGAAAGGCGTCTGTGTACATGGCCTCCAGCACTGTCTGTATCTCTCGCACTGTTCTGTGCAGCTGCAGTTCTCTCACGGCACGTGCTCCGTCGGAGGTGCGGAGAATACCCCACAGCGCGGCGTACATCTGCCCCGTCAGCGCACACTGCTGTACCAGAGCCGTCAGCTCCTGCTGCGATGCGCTGGTAAAAAGTTCACCGGGTGACGCCCGATGCTCAGCCCTAATCGCAGAAAGAAAATCGTTGACTTCTTGCAACATAACTTGTAGCACGGCCATTGTGTTCAATGATGCGACGGCGATATCGTGGCCGGCCAAGTTTGCGAGTGTCAACGTACATTTGGCAAGCAGATCAAACACGGCCCCATTGTACACATGTATCTTGGCCTTTTTTCCACCACCCTGATTATACTCTATTGCCGCCGCCTCTTCCTTCTGCGCTGTATGCAGTCGCACCAATGTAGACACCGCAATATTACTTACCACGCCAGCAGCCAATGTATCCGACACGTGCAGTGCCGCCTCTGTAGGAATGACCGCGGAGATGCCCTCCATCTCACCCCCATCACCCGGCATCTCATTCCCACCCCGGGAGTGACTCCCTTCGACGGCATCCGACAACGAGGCGGCTTCCGCCAAGGCGCGGTGGCCCAAGTCTTTTCTTGTCGCAGAAAGATCCACAAAAGCCTCCATTGCATGTAGAAGCATGTTTTGCTGCAACGTGGCCTCTTCTGTGGCCCCCACGGCGGAAAGGCCCTCCAGTTCCACGCCGAAGAGTAAGACAGCGTCAATCATAGTCCTCAGCCCGCCCCCATGCCCTGGCATGTGGAGCGCCTCGTACACCATCGGCATGTTCCTGCTGCAGCCACTAAGGCACTTCAGTATCATCCACGCCTTGTGTAACGGGGGCAAAAATGCCAAAACAGCCGACTGCTGCGACGGCGTTGCGGCAGGGAAAAATAATGTGGCCCCGCGACGAACACCGCTGCCTCCACCAGTCATCCCCTCCGTTCCCTCGAAACCTCGAATGTCACGTATAGCCGA